TTTACTACCATATAATCTACATATCGTATAATTGTCAAAATTTGTATTTATAGAAATGAATTGGTTCAATATATGTGTACAACGATTTAACCTACCTCCTTAAAAAATTTTCCTTGGAACTAGATAAGGTTTTGAATGCAATAGTGCTAGATGGTTCACGCGATCTTACGTCTCGGTACCACCACTCAGTGTTGGGAAATGACTTGTCATTTGATTCGAAATGACCAGGTCGTTTTCCCTTTTTTAGTATCACCACTAATATTTATTGTTGTATATTAATTTAAATATCAAATGATATCTTATGTAGGTAACTTTAAAATTTCGATAAGGTTTCAGTGAGATATCAGCAGGATATAGACGTTTAGCGCATCCGATAGGTCTATTAGACATCTGATACTTCTATTGTAAAATATCGGATATTTGATATTTTGTTAATAGAAGTGTCAGATCTCTAATATACCTATCAAATGCAATATCTATCCGATAGGTAGCAATATGCGCCAAATATCGGGTAGCTATTGGCTTTATAAAATGTCTAATATCTCATAGAAATCTTGCCAAAATTTTGAAGTTCGACTTGTGTTAGTGATTAAAAAGAGGTCCTCTCTAGAGACTTTTCACCCATCCAGTATATTAAAATTTGAGACCACATGATTAAACGACGACTATATTCTCATCACAAAATTATAAAAAAAATAATCAATTAGATAATTAACCCGGTTAATCAATCTAAAAAAGCATTGAAAAACGAGAGCTTCGTTGAGCATTGCAATGTATAAAATATCAATATAAATATCTAATTGTATCTTTTAATGATTATCTTTAAATGCACAATGTATATTTTTTAAAATTAGACAACGAGTTGATTATTGATTTTAAAACTTCCTGATGCTAGCCAATAAGATATAAGCAAATGTGCGTGTAATTTTTTATATCAGGTCATTTAGTCATTTCAAACGTAAATGACTAAATGAACAATAAACAATTCATTTAATCATTTGGTCATTCACTATCACATTAATCTTTAATCTTCCGTATACCATATAGCCAAGGTTGCAGAAAATACCAAGCCAAATTCTTCTTCGCCAATTTTTTTTTAATATTATTTAGTCTATCAAATGGAATCTATTCAATAACAGATCCATAATTGTTAATTCTAAGTTTGGAACTTTTGATGCAATTATCGATATCCTTATTTCCACTTGTCCATTCTCGAGTTGTTATGTCAGGATTACATGCTAGATTCGTGTTATACTCATTATAATGTGTACGTTTCCATAATCAAAATTTCTTTTAATTATATATTTATATTAATTCTTTTAATGTTTTTATGTGATTTAAATCGAACACAAGTAATTTTATACTCCCCGACTAATTAATGAAAATAAAATGAAATGTTTGAATAGCTTATTTTAAAATCATTAGACTAATTAATGTTCTTTATACCCACCTCCTAAATTAACGCGAGTAAAATTAAATTAAATAGTAAATATTCATGAGTTTGAATAGTTTGTTTTAAATACTTAGAATAGTAAATGTTCTTTATACTCACGGACTAAATTAATACGAATAAAATAAAATTCAATAGTAAATATTCATGAACTTGAATAGCTTATTTTATATATTTTGATTAATAAATGTCATAGCTGATGTTGATTTTAGCTGATGCTGATTTTTGGGTCTAAATTTGGAAATAAACCCTACTAAAATCTATCTATAAGCAACTCTAACCCAGGGTTGGCAATGGACCTAATGGAGAATCCGATGGAGTCAATGGAGCTCAATGGATACTTATCCATCGAGGTCCATTCGGGCATTTTTTCTCAATAAATTACAAAATTGCCAACCCTGGCTCTAACCCTAAGATCTAATATAACTATGACAGAAAACTAAAAAAATGCACCACAAAAAAAATTTAAATTGCATATTTAAATAGACTCCAAAATTAACATCAGCCATGACAATAAAAGTTTTAGTGTTTGTAGTCGATACAAAATCATTGACTCGACTAAGCTGATATTTAGGAATCGACTAAGTAAACTAAGTCGAGTCGCTTACTCGTTGTATATTAAATATACAGTATATGTCCTCGATTAGACTAAGTCAATCTTTTAAAAAAACCGGTTGCCTAAGTCGATTTTATTGATAACCCCTTAATTACAATACCAAAATGTTTTTTTATACTCACAAACTAAATTAACGCGAATAAAATAAGAATTAAACAGAAATATTCATGAATTTGAATAGCTTATTTTAAATACTTATATTAATAAATATATTTATACCACATCCTAAATTAGCGTAAATATTCATAGACTTTAATAACTTATTTAAATATTTAGATTAATATATGTGCGCTATACTCACCGACTAAGTTAACGTGAATAAAATAAAATTAAATAGTAAACATTCATGAACTTGAATAGCTTATTTTAAGTTAATAATGTTCTTTATACTTACTGGCTAAATTAATGTGAATAAATGAAATTAAATAGCAGATATTATGAACATGAATAACTTATTTTAAATACTAGGTTTAAGAAACGTTACCTCCTAAATTAACGCGAATAAAATAAAGTTAAATAGTAAATATTCATAAAACTTAAATAGCCTATTTTAATATTTTGATAAATGTTCTTTATACTCACATTCTAATTAATGCGAATAAAATAAAATTAGATAGTAAGTATTCATGACTTGAATAGTTTATCTTAAATACTTAGATTAATAAACGTTCTTCATACCCGCGCACTAAATTAATGCGAATAAATAAAATTAAATGCAGTAGTGAATGTTCATGAACTTGAGTAGCTTATTGGGATGTTCTATATAATAGGTGGGCAATACTGTATAAAAAATAAGCTTCGCCGATAATTAATATATTCACGTGATATTTGGCGGAGTTTAGTGGAGTTTGCCCACCTATTCTATAGAACATCCCTATAAATATTTTGAGCACAAATTTTGGGATCTTATAATATAAAAAAAACTCTAACCCTACCCTAACCCAAAGCTAACTATTAACTATACTATAACCCTCACCCTAACCCTAACTATTCTCAAATCTGTTTAGATTAGTTCAAATAATTATTTTTATATTAAATAATCTTATATTATTTATATATTCTAAATATCAACCCATATATGTACGTACGTACATATATCAATGTTAAGTTTACAGTAGTTGCGCAGTTGCCTAAAATGTATAAATTAGGTTTTAGAAATTATCGTTAATAGTATAGTTTTTTAAAATACCCTTTACATTTTGGTCATCTGATATTATACTGACATTCAGTACAGCAGTATTGATTATCTTACATTAGAGATCAACATAGCACAGATTTCAAAAATCCAATCATAAATATTACACAAGAAACAAGCTTTTTGTCTTAGCAAAGAGTTTTCTTGCAAGATTATAATCTCGATCTACTTGCCTGCTGATTTAAAAGATGCTTAAAAGACGATAACAAAATTTTGTGAAAGCTTAATTTTTAGATACAAAATTTTTGCAAGTTTCATTTTCAAATTAGTATTTAGAAAATTTTAAATTATAATTTAATTATGGTATAATATTGTTAATGGCATTTATATTATTAAATAAAAATTTAAAAAAAATTAAATAGGGAACACCTATTTACATCATGAAGATTTCCACCATCGGCTATTAGAGATATTAGTCGAGCTAAATTTATCAACTGACTAAGCCGATTTTATAAAAATCGGCTAAGTCGGCTTAGCTGGCTAAATATTGAAATCATATGATTTACCAATTTATATATAAATACCATGAAACAATTGAAGTGTTATTTATTATAAATTTTTTAGAAACTTATTTATTTATATATAAAATATATTATGGTTTTGCTTATTTAAAATACACATTTAAAATATGTATTTAAAACATCATATGAGAGATATAAATATCTTTTTTACAAATTAATTTAAACCGGTTTATAAAAAGTTAATGTTACTCATTTTATATTAATTAAAAAAAAAAACTTTATTTAATTCTAATCACATAACTTATTTGTATTGACTTTTGTTATTTAAATAATAGTCGATTGAGAAGGCAAATACACAATTTACATTCTGCTCTAATATATAATTAATGTTTTAAAGTTTTTTGTAACCTGATCTATTTTAAACTGATTACAATAATATGTTTCTGTAATACTGTATAGACATGGTTTTATTTGATGCTGAAATAATATTGTGTTGTGCATTTCTGTAAAAAGCTAATATGCTAATTAAGATTTATGATCTTCAAAAACATAATATAGTAAGCCCACCAAATCAGGTCTTTAGTCAACTAAGCTGGTTTTTGAAAATTCGATCAACTTAGTTGGCTAAGTCAACTAAGTCAACTAATCTTGAATTAACTAATATCCCTACAAGCATACAATTTAAGAAGTTTTAGCTTCACCTATGTATCTTCATATTCTCTAACTATTCTGCTAATCATTATTTTTAGTATCTTTGCTATTTTTATTTTATCATTAAAGTACAGTAGTGGGTGTGCTGATAATCATTTGGAGAGCCACTAGCCTCTGAGATTGCAAATTCAACCTTAAAAGGTTTAGTGATCCAAACTGTATCTATCTTTTAGCCAATGCTTCTGTTTTCTTAATTGTTTTTTTGGAGGTCAAAATCATCTGCAGAGGTGAATAAATTTTTTTCTCCACTTCAAATATTTTATTATGATTAATATATTTAATTAAGATAAGCTTAATTCAACCAAGATATTATAGAAAAAAACTTATAAAAAAATTTCCATGTAGTTAAATTTCTTCTGGAATAGGCTTGTAATCATTGGCATTAAGAAAATTTTTCTGTATACCCTTTGGACATATTATCATTTAAAAGGTCATTATTTCTTTCAAAGGACTTTACATTATAATTAAAATAAAAATAAATTTTGTTAAAAATTCTTATATTTTTGCCCAAATCAAAATACTTATAGCAAATTACAGAAATCCCACAAGAATTCAAATTCTTCATTATTATGAGTTTCCAAATAATTCATCTACTGATTTCTTTAAATTTGGGCTCTAAAAAAAAGAAGCTAATTAAATTCAAAATTCTATTTAGAATATACATTTTTAATAAATTTAAAACTTACTATAATAATGTCAACAATTTTTTTTATTTTTTCATAATCTTTTTTTTGTGGGTTTGGTAGATTATTTAAAGTTTTGTATATTTCTGGTAAAGATTTGGCGAATGTACTATTGGATCCTGGTGTCAGGTCTAGTATATCATAATAGGCCAAGCTATTGTTGCAAAATTCTTTTAAGATTCTTAAACTCAATTTGACTATTTCAAAAGTTGCTTAAAGTTACTTACTCATCATTATCCCATGTCCAATCTTTACACATAGCTTTTAAATTAATCAAAGTTGCTAGTTCTGCATCTAATTTAGCTAAAGTTGATAGTTCTGCATCTAATTCAGCCGAAGTTGATAGTTCCACATCTAATTCAGCTGAAGTTGATAATTCCTCATCTAATTCAATCGAAGGTGCTAGTTCATTATTTAATTCAAATTCGTCTCTCTATAAAGTCAAATCAATATTGATCATTAATCTGTTATTTAAATTAAACTGTAAAATTCTATTCTAATAAAATAAATAAATACAGATTAGAATATTAACTAGAAATTTTTCTAAAAAGTGAGCACCAAGCTCAGTCATTAGGCTATCCTCATGTGTCCTTGCTGGCCAAAGAGTGATAAGCACACAGTTCCGTCATTAGGCTATTCTAATGGGTGCATAAGTTCAGTCGTTATCATCCTCTTTTAAAACAATGTTACAAGCTCACATGCTAAGTCACTAAGCTATCCTAATGATGCTTGCTCAAACACATAGCAGTAGACCACTAATCCAATATACTGGAAAGTAAAGTCAAGCTCGGTCGTTAGGTACGCTAACAGGTACTCATCATTCTCCTTCACAGCATCGACCACCCTGAGGTTCATCTAAGCATCGTAGGTTATTATAAATTAAGAAATACTTTCCTGTTAACTGCAAATCTGCGCCACAATGATCGATAAACACTACGTAGATAAATAAAACTATGAAATTTTTTCATTCATTCATTCTATTATAAAAGTATATGTAACAGTGCTTTTATACTAGAAAAAACAACCAATCAAAACAAACTGACCGATGATCTTTTTGTATGTAGTTAAAAATCCTATGATTTGCACAATGTAACTTAATGAGAATCAAAATTTAGATTCGACTATTGGATTGGATTGGATAATTTTTATAATATTTATAGGAATTTCTATTTTCACCCGGTTAAAGTATAACACATCAAAAAAATCTCCAAAAATTGCAAAAATTCTGCGCACCAATTACAGTTGTTTTAAAAAGGTGTGAACGGTTGCAGATAACCATGTCACGATATTTCACAAATTTCCGGAATTTTCAATACCAAAGTTTAAGTTTTACTAATCTAAATTTCCAAATTATTCGATTTCCAAGATAGGTATATTTTTGAAAACGGCTGTAAATTGCATGATCAGGCGTAATGTGAAATTTAAATTTTTAAAAATCACAAATAATTCAAAAATCGGGTATGGAACCAAGTTTCGTGTTCTAATCAAAAAATTCGTTGCAAAATTTAACCTTAGAACTAATTATAAAATGGGATACTCTTCAAACTTTTCGTACGTATGTAAATCTTGAATCTGATTAACTGCTGCGCAGAATTTTTGGAGAATAGTTCAGAAAAATTTGGATCTCCCGTGATATCCGGACCAAATAAGAAGGGAAAATGTCAGAAAGCTACTATAGAAATCTAGATCTTAATATTTTGGAATGGACCGTTTAAAGGGTTTTGAGAAAAGTTTGTGTTACACGAAATTTTATTCTAAATTTTTGATTTATTCATAGATATTATTATAAATTTTCCAAGTTAAATTGAAATCTTCTGGTTGGGTTTTATTTTTTTTTTCTTTGAGAAATGTTTTTTTTTCAAATTTAAAAATCTCAATGTTCTTTTAGTCTAATGCAGTAATGTATGTACAGCATATAAATAAAAAATCTTAAATTGGCATTCCCCGAATGATGGCCCGGATATCGCGGTACCTCCAAATTTTTTCTCCATGAATAAAAGGGAATTAATTTTCCTTACACTCGCGCACTAGATTAACACGAACAAGATAGTAAAAATTCATGAATTTAAATTAATAATTTTTTTTTGTACTCACTTAAACCAACATGAATAAACGAAAACTAAATAGATAATTATTTTAAACACTTATATTGATAAAATTTCAATATTCACACGCACTAAAATTAACGCGAACAAAATGGAATCAAATAATAGGAATTCATAAACTTGGTTATTTTAAACGTTTTTTGATTCATAATTTTTTATATTTAACTAAACCATCGCAAGTAAAAGAAATTAGATAGTAATTATTCATGAACTTAAATAATTATTGCAAACACTTAGAGTAATAAATTTTTCACATTAACTTAAACTAACGCGAATAAAGAAAATTAATAGATGAACTTGAATAGCTTAAATAGTAAGTATTCATGAGTTTGAATATAATAAACGAAAGTTCAGTAGTGATTTGCTGGTCATATTCAAATTTGTACAACGTTGTATACGATGTCTCGGTCTTTTACAAGAAATCCAAGATAAAAAATAATATCCTGGGGTACTGTGTGAAGTTATACTTTTCAAAAAATGTTAGAGGATACCTTTTCAGTAATTAAAGTATTTATACATGGTATGCATAATGGAAGTAAAATTTCAATAAATAAAGTAGAGTCGTCAATCAAAACGAGATTAAAAAATTGTGATAAAAAAATTAATTGCAACATGGAGTGTCGTTGATTAATCATCCATGTTAATGTCCGACCTAATTTATTATACCGAGCAAAGTTGTTACAAATCACTAGGGATGAGTAATGTAATAATAATATAATCGATAGCTAAAATTACAAATAATCTATTTATGCATAAAATTGGGCATTTTTTTTTTTTTGAGTTAAATAAAAAGATCGATTTTGACCGATAATAACATATTTACAATGTCAAATTGACCTTTACCAAATTTGCAAATTCGACATTTTGGTGTAGTATTATTAGCCAGCTTAGTCATTGCCTAATATCACGCTTATAAACAATGAAATATTTAGAAATATGCAGCATGTTTTTGTATATTTTCATACTATAGCCAATGATCGGTCTATGATTTAGTCAGCTAACAACAACACTATTTTGGTGGCATATTGCTTAAGAAAAAAATAGCTTAATCATATTATTCAAAATAAAATAAAAAAAAAATAGATAATTTCGAACAATTTTGTTCAAGTTAATGCACTAATTCTAATGAAACATGTCTTGAAGAAATCGCATCTAATGTCAGTAACAATATTAAACAATAATTTACAACATAACAACGAATATTTTCAAAAAAAAAAAAAAATATTAAATTTGAAAATGTATTTAACTGTAATTATTATGATGAAATTAAGAATATGTAAAAATATGCAAGAATGTGTATATAATACGTACGTATGAAATGTAAAGATATGTAACAATTTTGCTAATCCCTACGTACAAATGACATCTAAAATTGATTCCATTTTAGAGCTATATCATGTAAGCGTTTGGAATCCAACTTTATTTGTATGCGTGAGAGTGAAAATCAGGAAATAAAATTTATGATTGTTAAATTTTATTTCACTCTCGCGCACTCATTATGGAAATTTTTTTCTATTGTAAACAATATTTGTTCAACAGAGATAAAACAACCAATAAAATCGAACTTCTGTTATGCTACACTAAACGTGACGGTGATCGACACAAAGGTCTTACATATTGGATGAACAATGCAAGTACTTCTAATCGAACAGAGATTCGACTACCTGATATATAATTTTGATAAATTAATTTACTGTTATTCGTTTAAAATCTGCAAATTTGTAAAGCCTCAAGTTGGATGAGCACAGGACACTTATTTATTGTCAAGAACTGTTGATGGGCAATGCTTTTGAGCAGATAATAGCAGATAATGTTGGTTACAAAATGAAAAGGGCGAGCAAGCATGAGTTATTTATTTATCGTCGATCAAGGCGCTAGTAATTCGTAGAACCTTTCATATCAATTTTAATTTTATATCTTTTATTTTATACTCTTCGTGTATAGCTTTATTAGTAAGGGTGCTATGTATCGTTTATTGATCCCTGTCAATTAGATCGACATGAATCAGAATAAAGTTCGCCATTTCGAAATCGGTATAAATCGGTATGATTTTAATTAAAACTATTAACGATATGTTCATCTACTAAAAAAAAAAAAAATGAATTGCTTCTGAATGCGCACGATTTATTCAGCAACTGGTCCTTCTGTCGTTGCTAATATTATATATGTAAAGCTTCATTAATAAAATAAATAAATAAATAAAACTTTTTTTTGTTTGAAGATTGGATAGGTGACTTTTTTAACACCCATTGCTTAATGGAAGCGAATACTTTCACAGGCAATTATTTTATTGATATTAGAATAAGGCAAATTCACAAAGCCTGAATGCACATTTCATTTAGTTTTGCCTTATTTCTATCTTCAGATAAATTACTGATTTTTGACTTTATAATTGGCTTTATAACTGTACTAGGAACGTGCATTTTACTGATCTCAGTTTTAATTGACCTTGTTTTAATCTTATTACTGTTGATACCTCCAAAGGTTCACATGTGTTTAATCCAACTAGTAGTTCTGAGATAGTGTTCTATTCTAGTACTCTACAATTATGTAAACCTTGAGATTCTACTGCTTATAATAAGTGCTCTATCGATATATGAAACGAAATCGATTATCATATAACTTACGTACTGTAACCATCGTAAGGGAGAGCTTGGTATTGTCATGCCGAGTTTAAGGGGTCATATGAATTGGGTGATAAATTATGGTATTCGGGTATTCATGATTTATTAGGCATTTATTATAAAAAGAGTGTGAATATATATGACCTTTATTTATTGAGGAATTTTGGAGAGCGAATGTTATCCTCAACTAAGAGACAAAATTTGTATTCGGCCAATAGGAACTTGGGAGATCCGATCACTAGATCACGAGAGTTTTGGCTGTAAAAATTGTACGAAGTTCTTTTTCTCGGATGAATGCATTATATAATTAATTATTTTTTGCTCCTCTCTTTTATAATAGGAATGTAATGTTAACTACTGAATCATTTATCTGGCCTAATTAGCAACTCAACTAGAATCTCTAGACTAAATTTAACTTGAAGTCAATTCGTTATAATAGATTTACTACATTAAAAATAGTTTGTTCATTTTATATGTTCGTTTCATTTGCCTCCCATCCCCCCCTTTCGAGAGTTCTGGAAAGTGATGTTAATCGAAAAATTAACTTCGAACGGCCTAACCGCAGCAAAGATTTTTATTAAAACTTTGACTAAGATATCCCGGCACCCACCTAACCAATTGTAACAAAAATATTTTCATTTTAATTCTACAGAACTGTGGAATTAAAAGAGAAAGCTTTTATCGAAATTGGTCAAGTGGGTGCCAAGCTAACTTCGATCAAAGTTTCTAAATTTTTAAAAATATTAGAAACCGCAGCAAAGATTGATCGAAGATTTAAACTTTGAATCGAAGATATCCCGGCACCCACCTAACCAATTTCGATAAAAATATTATTTTCTTAA